TTTTTTGCAGGTGCATTGTGTTCCGCAAGTACAAGGGCACCATTGGCTCGCCACTGAAGTCAATGTCAAGGTTGAGGAACTTGATGCTGGCCTGTGCATGTGCGTCACGAGGAAAGACATGTGACAATTTCAGACACCAAAACGACTGACGGAGAAGCTTGTCACACCTGCTTGAAGTGATCGGTTCTGGCAAGGTCGCACCCCTCAGGCGAAAGAGTTCAAGGCGACTCAGGCGATCTCTTTGGTTCTGTGAACCGGGACAATCGTGTGACGATGGTGTGCGAGATGCTTGGTGGGCGAAAGGGTTTGTGTGATTGTGACTTGGGAGCACCTGCTGCAGACCACCCTGGAGTTTTGTCAGGTTCCTGGTCATACGATCTATATATTCCATGAACAATAGCAAACAACAATCACAAATTGCCAGTTCCATTCCGTACTTTGGAATCTATGCAACGGGGTGACAAGGGTGTGCTTGTGCCAGGGACGCTGGCCTGTGAAGTCCTGCAAAGTCGTCCTCGGCTTGTTGAGGCCGCTGCCGAAAAAGCGGTTTGTTTGGCAATTTGCCAAATTTGGATGATTCTATTGGGTCAGGGGTATGGCCCGGGTATGGCTAGGTCTTGACTCTGCGGGCTCTGCTTTGTTTTTGGTCATCAAGTTGGTGTGGACTAAGCCTGCGCAACCTGAATTGCAGGAATGCTGAGGCCAACGCTGAGTTCAAGAATCTGGACACCGAGAAGCTCTTTGTTGAGCACGTCCAGGCTTCCAGCAGCTTGCAGCTTCCAGTGCAGAGGAGTAATCAGTGCAAAAGGTTTGTTTTCAGGTGAATGCTGCTCAGCAAGGCCGCAGGCGCACCTACCGTGCCCACGGCCGAATTGGCCCTTACATGCAGGGTGCCTCAGTTCATCATCAGTGCAACGCAGATCTTCATGACATGTGAGATGTTTGGTTTATATATACTTTTGTGATTTTGTTTGCTTCCATGTGTTATTTTCTTTTTCAATCCATGCGAGTGCGAAAGGAACTGCCCATGCCACGTGGAGATGATCTTGTCTGAGAAGGAGGAGGCCGTCGAGAAGGCTGAGACCGAGGCGCTCTCCTGGATGTTGGACTGGTTGCTGCGATTTCGCTTCTTTTGCAATGTCCACTTGGCGCTGCCCAGGAGAAGCCCAAGAAATTCACTCGCAAGCAATTTGCCCGATTGCGCCTCAAGGTGCCTCTGTCTTTAACGCACACTTGTTGGAGATTCGCTGGTGTGAACTCGTGTCAAATCGTGCTCTTCCATGCTCTTTTGCTCGTTCACTACCTCAGAAGGCTGCGACGTTGAAATAGATTGAACGGGTGTCTAAAGGCAGCAACATGAGGATCTCCAATCTTGGGTCGGAGTGCGGGATTTTCTACTTGAACAGTGGTTCATTTGCAGGTTGGCGGCGATCAGTGAGTGACCTCTTCAGCCGAAAGCTTTTACGTCGTGATGCGGTGCAAAAACAGACAAACCCTTCGCAGCTTTTGCACCTTGCTTCGCCTTGCTTTGCCGTTGGTTTCATTTCCAGATTCGTGAGCTATGTGTCTCTGTAACTCTAGATTCTGAGCTTTCTTTGTGTCTTTCTTCGGGCTACCTGCTCTTGTCCATTGTATCCTTCTACACGCTTGGATTGGGCAGCTGGGCAGCCACAGCCTGCTGCCAGGACGCAGAAAGAAGCTATGTGACCCTTGGAATGCCAGAGCCGAAGGAGGTGAAGGACCCGAAGGAGCCAAAGTCCTAGCAACACGAACGGATCAACGGAGCGTCCATCTGAACAAATTGAACATCTTTTAGAAGAACCCTTTTCATGTTGTTAATCCTTTCTCAAAGACCTAGACCTTCTTCTTTTCTTCTTCCTCTTCTTCTTCTTCTTGTTCTTCTTCTCCTTCTTCTTTTTCTTCTCTTCTTTTCTTCGTCATCATTTTGTAAATCAATCACATGACACTGGTTTTGTTCAATTTATCATCCTGTTGTATTATGCTGATCATTCAGCTTTGGTAGCCATAGTGCAAGAGTCACACCCACAGCTCACAAGCAGCTATGTCCAGCTTCTTTGAGAATCTCGAAGCAATTGCAGCTACTGTATCAAATCGAGTGAGAGGTCCACAAAACTCAACTGAGAGCTGACTCTCACTCTTTAAAGTCCCTCAAAAAGAATGCTGCTTTTCTTTCATGTTCTTTCCATTTGTTTAAAATTCGACTTTTGGATCTCCATCGTTTCTCGTTTCGTCGTTTCATCGTTGGGATTTCTTCGGTCTCCATCCTTCGCAGCGTCCTTCGCCCTTTGATCATCATTCTTGTGAGGCACACCGAGCTGAAACAGCGGCTCGTGGCGGCAGTGAGGCGTTGGGGGTGAGAAACATATTGTGCTGGAGTCTTTTCACAAAAGTCTTGCAAGAACTGGTCAGAAATCAAATTTTCAGGCCTGATGCTGATTTGAAAGTTTGGCCACGAGGCTCAGGTTTTGCCAAATTGCTGTCGGTCTGAGTGGACAGTGCTGGGCTTCGAGAGATTTCAAGACATATTTGACAGAAGACACGTATACGATTGCACTCGATTCTGCCAGGCAACGTAGAGGGAGCAAACTTGCCAGGAGCTCAAAGTAAAGAACTTCATGTGGAGTACGAGAGCGTCAAAAACATTCAAAATCTCAAACTCAGTTTTCAGTTGAAACCGAGCTAAGTTACCTATTCAAAGTTTGAGTTGTCCATGCTCTGCTCAGAAACACACGTTTTGAGGCTCCGATTAACTATGGCACCTGAGGAAGATTTCAGTGCCATGGCTCAATTCTGATTTCTTTCTGCCTTAAATGGATTTCGATGCTCCAGGTGCTCTGAACGTCCACGCCTTGCTGTCACGTTCACCATTGCCAGTGTCACGACTCTTGGCGAAAAGAAAGCCATAGACACGATGCCACTCGTCATTCCCTTGGCATTTGGGCCTCCCAAGGGCAAACTAGCAAGCTGTGTAACATGTACTACCATTTTGGATCAGCCTTGCGTAAGGTCTTTGGCGAACTGAACAGATGATGCTGGTCTGGCTTTTGCAGAGCTGCCAGCAGCAGCTGACACAGCTCCGCAGGCTGTGCATTGGTTTCACCAGCCGCACCAAAGGAGTTTGTTTTCACGACTGGTATGATTTGGTATGATGATCATGATGGATTGGAGAAGAACCCTCGGTGAGTTCATGAATTGTTTGCATCAACGATTGCTCAGCTTCAATTCATTCATGTGCCTGGTCTAGCTTCGATGGTGCAGGTACCAGCTTCCAGAGTTGTGCCGTCCGCACATCCGGCAGTTGGTTACAAACTACAGGGTGTATGAGCTGAGTTGGAGTTTGGTGTGCACTGTTTGCATTGGTATCTTGTGTATCTTAGCCAAATAGCGCAAAAGCGGAAGTGCGCATGGTGCGTTGTACCGTTTTTTGGTCCCCATCCAACATGAGGCTCGTGTGGAGACCATCTGGGAGGGATGCGTGGAGGCGCCAGAGGCTTCAGTTCTCCTATGTTTACTATAGTTCTCTCTAAATATCTACAGACATACAGAGATATTGATGCCGTAAAAGCAATACACAGATTTTTTTGCATTAAAAGCAGCAAAGGATGAAGACTAAAGCACCATCAAAATCAAGAACGAGTTACGCCGCTAGCCGCTAGTCGCTTGCATAATCATAAAGCCAAGCTATTAGTCACTGACTTATGGCTCCTATCTCCCAAATGAAGAGAAAAAGGTAGAAAACAGCTTTGCCAGCTTGTCAGCGCTTGTTCCCAAGGAGGTAAAGCTCCGTGCAGAACTCTTGGCACAAGACCCGCCGGGACCTCAGAAGAGCCGGTGTCCATTCGTTCCGTCGTTTCGTTGTCACAAAGCTCCTAGTAGCGTCCTTGTTCCTAGTAGGGCCAGGAGCCCCTAGTAGCGTTCTTGCTCCCAGTAGCTTCTTTTGGGTCTTAGACATCGTCACAAAGCGACAGAGCGTTACTTTTTTTCCATCGCCCTTGGCCCTGCCTCCTCGTCACTCCTTGGAGACTTCTCCCCTTCGCATTGCGAATCCTCATGCGTCATGTGCTACTTGTGCTATTCGTAAAACTCATCATGAATCATCATGATATTTAGGCGATTTTTCGCTTATCTTGCCCTGTCTTCCACTTGTCCATGACTAAGGCAATGCGCGGTTCCGCCGTCAAGTTTGGTGAGCGCAACGACTCGCCCACAGGTACGACTTGTCTCACCGTAGATCCAAGCTCTCTGAGCACACAATGAAGCTTGAATTGTCCTCGTTTCAGCTACGAAAGAGGTGAAAGAGCTGAAGGTGAAGAAAACGAAAGGAGGAAAAGGACGAGGCCAAGCTGTGCCTGATAAGCCTGTGGCTTCCAGATGCCATATGCCTTTTCAACACAAATCAAATTATTCAGGGAGCGTCCTTGCTCCTAGTAGTAAGGCCAGGAGCCCTACTAGCTTCTTGTTACTAGAGGTTCCGGTGTACTTTCCTTACAGACAAGAGACTTCAAGAGAGTATCTGTTGACGTTTCAGCCAGGCACAAAATGGCGCTGGGACCTTGACAAGCCAATTTCCCCTTGCCGATCAGTCGATCAAACTGGCACAGAGAACACCTCAGATTTTGAGGTGAAGCAGTGCGCTTCTCCGGGCTGACTTTGAGGCATGTGACATGCGTACCATTCTCATGTCTACCCTACCTTGTTTTAGAGCGCGACAAGCGAAGTGCTCTAGGTGTGGATCTGTTTGGGACCCAGTTCAAAGATGGGTCTGGAACGGTGACAAAATATGAGATGATATGAGGATACTGAGGAGGAGACTTGTTGAATTTCTACAAATGTTTTTTCATGCCTTTTTTGTATTCTGCAGACGGCAGTTGTGCAGTTGTGCCAAGGCCTGCCCAGAATGGATGCATCGACTTGCAGCGACTGCGCTGGTGAGAGTGACCGGGGTTGTGGGGGTTCGGGTGGTTCGGGTGGTTTGGTTGACAGGTCAAACATCAATTGACACTTTTTCGGAGCAAGACAAGTGATCAAGTGCAAAAAAAAGAATATATCAAGCCTGAACTGGTTGTAGATGTTGGTAGAGGACTTCATGCATGTGAGGAATTGAACTGAAGGCATTGAGTTTGATGTTGGTACTCGGAGAACTCATATATAGTAACTGGACGAATGCCAAGTCTTGCCGAAAAGATACCTGAACCTGCTTGGCTCAAGCATGGCACGAGCACCATGCTTTCCTTGAACCTCTGAGGAAAGCCAACGGTTTAAGTGTGGGTTGCGCAGGCAGTGCTGGCAGTTGAGAACCAACTGTAACCACTGTAAGCCCCAAGAACTCCAGAGACCCAGCACTGCCTACGCTCCCCTGTGCCAAGCAACATTTGATAGTGAACCTTCCGATCTATTCACGCCGGGACCTGAGAGCTTCGATTTCTCGGAACCCCCGAGGGGGAGAAAAAGCAACGAATGCCCATGGAACCTTTTCGTGCAGCATCCGAGGGTTTTTGTGGCCATGACTGAACGTATCACACCGCGTATTCATCGATCAGCGCTTGTGTGGGAGGCTGAGTGTAGTCCTGCGATCTGGCAGTGATGGAGTTGACCGAGTCCAGGGTTTCTTTGATCACTTGATGCAGATTCCCTTGCTGAGGCAACAAGATTCCATGCCAATGATTATGCAAGGGAGAACCTCTCTGAGCTTCATCGCCAGTTTGGGATTTACAAATTTGCAGCTCCTGCAGGCGACATGGTACAACCTTCCTTTGGAACTTGACGCTTCTCACAACATTCTCTCTTGACCTTTTCAGCATTCTTTGTGTTTGCTTGCGCAGTCTCTTTTGGCCGTGGTCTTCTTGCTGCATGCGGCAGACGGTGCAATGCTACCGGGCATTTTCAAGGTGATGTCGGACTGTTGTTACTTGTAGAATGGATAACATGCTAGCGATGCAGTGTTGCAACACATTTTGCCGCACTCTGTCATTCTTCCTAAACCTTGTTCCTTGTCCGGAGGCACTTGAAGAGGGCCTTGAAGCAACGCCCGCCTCTTGACTTCAATTTTAGGTGACTCATGCTTCAGAGCAGAAAGCAGGCAGAACCAGACCCAGATTTGATGCGGGACATATGGCACATGTACAATCAACAGATTGTCATAGATGGTCCCAAAAGGACCTGTCCAAAGCTTGTGCCACATGTCTGTTTTTCACATACATAGCCAGGTGACTTTGGGGAGCATCATTTTTGTGGAAGCTCTTTGCCATAGCATCGCTGTTCTAGCACCTCGGCACAGAAGTGTACAGTTCTTCTGATCTCTTTTGGGCGATCCGCAAGCCGGGCAAGCCGGGCAAGCCGGGCAAGCCGGGCAAGCCGTAAGGTCTGGGGCATTTTGGCCGACCGCTATTGCAAGCTCACTTTGCTGATGTATGCGATCCTCGGCGAAAGAGCCTTCAGTACGGTATTGATTTCAGGTTTGGTCGGACATTTGTTCGGCCTTCAGTACTTGAGTCTTGTGCATTTTGGCAAGTCGGCTAAGGACACTGGTGTGCGACTCAGATTGAAAGGTCTTGGTCTTTTGACATCTTTTTGCGGAATAGACTTTGACCGGCCTCATCCGGCCAGCTCTGGGGCTTCATCACTGCATTGACAGCCTTCGTGACCGGTGTTCGCGTTCTCTTCATCGTGCGGGCTGCAGCAGGCGAGATTCGGCGCAAGCTTTCAAACTCGGTTCAGAGAAGGAACCCCGTTCGTAGCGTCCTTGCTCCTAGTAGCGATGCCAGGAGCCCCCAGCATCGTTTTCAAACTCGATGTTAGCCGATATCCATCGCTAGTAGTAACAAGTGCATCGCTGCTAGTAACAAGTGCCTTACTAGTAGTAACAAGGTTCGCTATTAGAAACAATAAGCATAGTAGGTGGGATGCCATCGGCCGCTTCGAAGTTCGCACAAGACGAGCGACTCCTCACCGGAGGCACTGTTGGTGCAGCACTGGGACCTTTGCCGAGCCTCAGAACTCACAGCCGAATAACAGGAGATGATAGGTGTATATGCTAAGTGCTAGAACTCCCCAGTTCCTGTGCAATCCGCTGCTATCCTGTGCTTTCAGCCTGTATTTTGCGTTTGGTGCCCTGAAGCCCTGAGGTCCCAAGGCCTAATTGGGGCCACCTGCCCATCGGCTGATCGAGGCTCTGAGGGGCCAAAAACGATTTTTAAGCAAGTCCTCTGAGTTTTTTTGCAGGTTTGGGGTTTTGATTCTTTGTTGGATTTCCGATTCCATTCCAGCTGGCTTTGACCAAGCTTGGGACTTCTTTGCCTTACCTCAAGGCCGGGCATTCGGTTGGCTCATTGCATGCGGGCAGTTGGGCTTTATGATTGGAGCCAGATGCCAAGCCGCTTCTCAGAGCACCTGGTGCTGCTACGCACGCCTCAAGTCCTCACCATGAAACGCAAGAATGCTTTACAAGAACGCTCTCTTTGAAACCACTTCCTTCGTATCGTCTCCTAATCCCAAATCCAGAGGTTTTGCTAGCTGGCGCCACTTCGCATCTTCAGGCTGGAGAGTGCGGAGTTTGGGAATGATCTCCCCGAGCTGGACGATCCGGTTTGTTTGGGTTAGTTTTACAGTTTGTTTCTTTTGTTTAGTCTTCGGACCCTTCTGTTTGTTTGTCTGTCTGCCTTTGATTCTTCTTTTCTTCCTTCTTGTCCTCTCTTTGGTTTACAACTATTTCCGCAACAGCGTCGAGCTAGGGGTCTTCCATTGAGAAATGCCGTCGGGGGGAGCTTTGGTGGCCCGGTTGTGTTTTGATCGTGTTCTAGTCAATTGTTATATGCTCGGTCAGTGCACGTGATGGTCAGTGGCCAGGTTATGCTTGGCGCCTGGTAACCAACAGAAAGATGCATATTGTTTTTTGTTCGTTAATAGGGTCGACAGATCTTTGTGATTTTTGTCCTTGCATCGTCTCTATATGCAGGATATTTTTTGCATCGCCCGATGCACTGGATTCCCGAGAAGAATTGCAGAATCCAAACTGGAAGATAACAAACCTTGAGACATCTTGCTAGTGGAGCTTGATGGACTTTGAGTGGTCCTACTCTGTCTTCCTTCCAATCGATGAGGTTTCCTGCTAGGAAATTGGTTGTTCCAACCCACAGTGCGTCGTAACTCTGTTGGATGTTCTGGACGATTTTCGTTCTCGCAGGTGATCCATGGCTGGAGGGGCACTTTCCTCCTGATGGGAATCTTTACGTTCTCCAGCAGCGTTTGAGGATCATATACAGGAATGTATTGACTCAATTGGTAATCCTTTAAATTGTCACGACTCTGGTGATTGTTCAAGCTCGTGAGCTGGAACTTGACCGTTGGTCCGTGTGCATTCCGAGAACATATTCTTCTCAAGTAAGTCAAAGGTTCTGGTGATTCTTGTGTTTTTTCATGTTTTCTGCAATTTGCGGTTTGTCTCTTCAAGAAATTTGTAGGCTTATTTTGAGCTGGATTGTCTACATGGCAAAAATGGAGGTAACGTTGGTGCCTCATGGAGTGAATCGCCAAAGCAGAAGCCTTCGGAGCTTCCATGCTCCGAGCAATTTTTTTCCTGTTTGCATGGCAACTTTTGCTTGAAGCTGTTTGCATTTCCCCAACTGGCGTGCGAAGCCAATACCAAGACGTGGCCTCTTTCAAGAGTCCCGCACTTGGGCACAGCTCTTAGCAGCTGCAAAGAAGGTGCGACATGCACGGAGCATTGAAAGATTAACTTGTTGCAGAGCGAGTTTTCAAGGCAGATGCTAAGGGATTCTCGCTTTGACAATCCCTTTGAACAACCCGACCACTGAGCAGTTTCGGCTGAAAATCTTCTTTCCAAAGCGATGTGCTGCCAGGGAACTCCAGATGGACAGCCTTTGAACGATATCTGGAAGGAGGGCTGAGTCCCAAGCAATCGCAAGCGGTCGCAAGCGGCCTTCCCTACGCTTGATGTATGAGTTGCAAGATGTCGAGGAAGAGCTTTCCTGCCACATCTTAGGCCATTGCTATTAGGTTGGAGGCCATTGCTTGGTGGTTGGAGGCCATCGCTACTAGGTTGGAGGCCGTCGCTACTGGTTGGAGGCCATTGCTTGTAGGTTGGAGGCCATCGCTACTAGGTTG